GATTCAGGGAAACCGGCAGGCCGGACTTGAGTCCTGGAGATGGGAAGTACAGTGTCTGCACTCTGAAGGAGGGGTGTTAATGTTGCAGTTTTATAACTGTAGTGTAAAGCACCCTTCTGGCAAGACAGTGATGGAGTGAATGATGAAAGTTTTTCTTTTTCGGGCCACCCTGCCTTGGTGGGAATCGGCCGGTGTGATAATAAAAAAATGAATAAACAACTAAAAAAAATGTTGCGTAAGTCAGGGAATATTTTGGTATTTCAATTTTGCTTCCACTATTTTTTTTTTTTTTTAAGAATTATCGGAAATTTTATATTATACGTGTCCATATTGCTGCAATGCCACAGATGGGTTGCTTGTAGCATTTTGGTATTTTGTAGACAGTTCATCATTTTTTAATTAAATGTCTAAATATCAGTATTTGGCTACTGAGGTAAACATGGGCGGGAACAAGAAAAATGATAAGTTATGTCTATATCAACGTTTTTCTCGAAAGTTATTCATTATTTATGGAGCACATATGAAAAACTATTACTGATGATATACAAGATGTCATTGTTGACATTCCCTCTGAAATGTTATGTTTAATATAACCTAGTTTTTTTTAAATTATATATATATATATATATATATATATATATATATATATATATATATATATATATATATATATATATATATATATATATATATATATATATATATATATGCAAGGAATTCGCGAGAGCAGACGAAATATACACAAACACTGATCTCTGGCTGAAGGAGACTAGAACCTACGAACCTTAGGACAAGGTACGCAGTGCTTTGCCAGAGATCAGTGTTTGTGTATATTTCGCCTGCTCTCGCGAATTCCTTGCATTGTTCAAATCTCTAGTAAGGCTGATGCATGCAGGGGATGAGATGAAAAGCTGTAAGCCTTCTCCCTGAAAGCTGGCTGCCTTGGATCAAACGTGTAGCGCATGCTACACGCCAAGGTATTGTCCAGTGTGGGTAGATTGGTAAAGCACTGCGTACCTTGTCCTAAGGTTCGTAGGTTTGAGTCTCCTTCAGCCAGAGATCAGTGTTTGTATATATATATATATATATATATATATATATATATATATATATATATATATATATATATATATATATATATATATATATATATATATATATATATGTCGTGCCGAATAGGCAGAACTTGCGATCTTGGCTTAAATAGCAACGATCATCTTGCCATATAGGACAAGTGAAAATTTGTATATGCAATAATTTCGCCAAAATCATTCTGAACCTAACGAAAAAAATATATTTCACTGTGTTTGTTTAGTATTAAATTATTGTAAAGAAATCTAAAATATATTTAGTTAGGTTAGGCTAAAATAAATTGTTCTTGTTATAATAAGGTTAGGTAAGTTTTCTAAGATTCTTTTGGTGCAAAATTAAAAAAATTTACATTAACATTAATGAAAAAAATATATCTTTAAACGTATAAGAGAAAATTTCAGAAAGGAATTAATTTTAAACGAGTTCTTGCTAATTGACCAGTTTTACATATTCGGCACGACATATATATATATATATATATATATATATATATATATATATATATATATATATATATATATATATATATGTATATATATATATATATATATATATATATATATATATATATATTATATATATATATATATATATATATTTCAACAACCCGCCTCATCCCGCCGAAGCAGGGTGCCTCAAAAAGAAAAACCAAAGTTTCTATTTTTAAATTTAGTAACTTATACAGGAGAAGGAGTTACTAGCCCTTTGCCCCCGGCATTTTAGTCGCCTCTTACAACACGCATGGATTACGGAGGAAGAATTCTGTTCCACTTCCCCATGGAGATAAAAGGAAATAAACAAGAACAAGAACTAGAAAGAAAATAGAAGAAAACATAGAGGGGTGTGTATATGTATGCTTGTACATGTGTGTGTAGTGTGACCTAAGTGTAAGTATAAACAATCCTGCAGTTCTCTTTATTTTAGTCTACCTACAATCCCGCATTACTCTAAGTTTTCTCCATGTTGGAGTGTCTATTGTGTCAGTTGAATCCAGTACATGAGGGTTCATTTTTTTTTGCAGTATCTAAGGTGGAGAAATATATGTGTACATACTTGACTGACTGTATTAACTAGAATCAGTTTTATCAAACAAAGCATGCCAGCCACGACACACACTCACTCAAAGATTTGGTGAACACTTTCCTAGACATAAGGCTTGTCAGTGGCAAGTACACTGGGCTTACCAGGATGAGCCACTGATGACACCTCCCTTTGGATTCAATACCAGACTAAAAGTTCTAGCATACTGGATGATGAATTGGGACTTGACATACAGGGTGAAGACACATAGTGAGGTCAGGATAAGACATCCATCAATTTATGTCGTGCTTAATAATAAGAGCTGCCGCTGCATCCGAATGTTGTCAAATCATTATATAGCCGACACTCAGCTTATGTGCCAGTAATGTCGTCGATACAAAAAACCGCCCTCTCAGAGTGTCGATTCCAGCATAGGTTCTTAAAAATCATTTTTTAACAATTAATGAGTCTCGGTACGTTCTCACGCACGTCACTGAATGGATGTTAGGAGCACACGTCAGATTGAGGCGCCACTGATAAGTAATCCAGATCCCTGGTGCTCACATCATGGAAGACACATCGTATTGTATGTACTTCTTCATCAATAACCAGCAGTTAGAGAACTGAAACTTATGATGACTTTACTGTCGGCGTTGGATTATTAACTAGTTACACAGATAAGTGCGAGAGGAATGGAGCCAAAACATATATACTAGAGGAGGGCGGGTGACGAAAGTGGTAGAACGGGAGGGAGTAGCAATGTTGTAGTAGTAGAAGTAGAGTAGTGCAAAAGTGATAGAGACGGCAATAGGAAAACAGTGGTTTTAAATAAAGGGGCAGAGAGTGGTGTATCAGTGAAGAAATAATAATAGTAGTAGTAGCAGTAAGAAAAAAGAGAACAGATGAGCACTGCAGGAAAACTAATTATCCGCGGAAATATGAAAAAAATCCCTGCAGGACAAAACCCCCATAGGACAGAACCCACCTCGGTAGAAGACAGGAAGTACAATGAAAATATAAGAAAGGTGTTCGGAAGTTAATGTAATGAGATAGGAAGGTATCGACATAGACAAATCCAGGACTAAGATTCTTATCGGAAGGTACTGTGAGATGAAGTAGCCCTTCATTGGCTTTCACTCTAAGAAAACTGAGAACTTCTTAAAGACGGACTCGACATCGGATATGAAGGAGTGAATGTTGGCCAGCCTGGAGGCAAGAGGATAAGAGTCAGAATCTCTGGAGGTTTGATATGAAGTCTTGAGAGTGGAGGAGGTGAGGTTCCAACAAAAGGAGTGAAAGTTTAGGAGACAATCAGGAGGCAAAAGGACGAGAGAGTGAACCTCTGGAGACATGCAAGGTTTATAAGTTTTAAGAAGCCCATAAAAATAAAGTATATAACACGGAAACGTTGAACAAGATTAAAGTTAAAAGGAAAGAGATGAGAGAGAGTCCTAAGTTTGTGGGTGATAGTTCTCTTGATGCTATCAAGAGTGTTGGAGACAGGATGAGTGTTGATGCGTGAGTCAGAGAGAAAGAGTTCGGCTTTCCGAGGAAATTCTCACTCACAAGGACATCCACTGAATTACCTTTGTCAGAAATAAGGTTAATATTAGTAGACTTACGAAAGGGCAAGTTGATAGCGACGAGAAATTCTTAGAAAGCAGCCGCTCAAGGGCAGAAACACGAGCACCACGAAAAGTTAACAGATCAATAAAATTTTCAGAGTAAAACTACAGAAAGGAATCAAAGGAGCTAACGAGGTCAATGCCAGCGCGAGGAGCAGGTGTAGTGGTAATGGAAAGTCCAAAACCATGAAGTTCAAACTGATGCTAAGAAAGTGTATCAAAAGACCGATTAGTAATGCAGTCAGTAAGAGTAGAATTAGAACCAAGAGCTGTAGGAGATAAGACATTGAAGTTTGTTCTGTAATTCAGTAGAATGACTTATCTAGCAAGACAATAAAGGAAAAAAACGAAGCTGGTTCTTGTGACGCCTGGAAGCAATAAGGGCAACTTCATTTGATAGAAAGAGGGATTTAGATGGAAGAACATCAGAGAAAATTGGGAGAAATTCACGCTTACCTGCAAGGTCCATAAAGAATAAAAAGGTATAATACCGTGACTGGAACAACACTGTCACCCGCCCCACCTCTCGTATGTATTCTGGCCGCCTTCCCTTCGCCCTTCTCTGTGTAACTAGTTAATGTTCCATGAGGGACCGAAACGTCGTCATAAGATTCAGTTTTCCATATGCGGCGGCATATTTGTGTATTGTTCTAGTCATGGTATTGTGCCCTTTTTTCTTTGGGCACTCTTTTAAGTACCTGGGGAGTGCCGGTCCATTGGCTGGCTAGCTCTGGCGTGCTGTTGACACCTGCTACTAATACTAACAGTTAATTACTGTCATTATATCAGATTGTCATTGATATAAACTCAGCAATGCTCTGGGACCTAGTGAACAACTTGGCCTCATTTTCTTATTTGACAAGTGCCAGTTGGCGGGCAGGTGTGGCACATGGCACCTAGCGGGCAGGTGTAGCACATGGCACCTAGAGGGCAGGTGTGGCACATTGCACTCTCGTACGATGGAAAAGTGAGCCGTTCAACCACGTAGGTACACAGGGACAGAGACAAACTTTCTCGAGCATCTACTTACCGATGTAACAATTTTCACCAGACTAAAATCTGCTATCTGTTGCACAAACTAATTTTGCCACAGCTGCCAAAAAATACTGTCCTTGTTAAAATTACCAAATATAATCTCCTTGCAATTAATACCAGCAGATCTACTTTTGTCGCAGCTTTTGCCAACAAATTTAGTCTTACCAATAGAATTGTCAAAAGAATTATTCTCCTCAACTTTATTGCTAACAAAAGCAAGTAACTCACGACAGTCCATGTGTAGACATAGCCGTCGGGATTGGTGCAAGGCATAATGTGGAAGTCGTAGCTGTCTAGAAGCGTCGTCACCTGACTGTCGTTGCCATACCCAGCTGTCAGCTGGTTCAGGAAGTACTGGCAAGTGGCCGTGCTGATCCATTCACATGCATGGATCCCGCAGTCAATCCATATTACTGGCTTAGAACCTCCGGTGGAAACCTGGCATGGTCAAGCTTTATTAAATGTGTTTGGTGTCTGTTTTGGTGTATGCTAAGAATTTAATCTGAATCAAATCAACAAATTATGTGAACATATCCAAGTTCTACTGTTACTTGGTTGTATACCTTGACGACGCGAATATCCCTGCCCTCATAGGTCTCACCAGCAGAGTACACCGACAAGAGAGCGGGGAAGTCGGCCACGGACCCATCCAGGATAGAATAGATCTAATGTCAAAACAAAGATGAAAATGCTTAATAATATGAGGTAAGGCAAAACCGAAGCTGGAGTCTTGAGAAGTATTAGTAAAATCGATGTTATACAAAACCCATAAAAACTGCTGTTTCAGTTGTCACTGTGATGCTCCCAATAAATTACTGACCTCGTCCAGTTCATGGTAGTCGGTGTGATCAAACTTGCGAGGCAAAGTGTGGCTCCTCTTGTGGTTGGTAACTTGTTGTTCGATGAGCCTGAGGGACAGGGGCACAAGCTAATGTTTATTTTATAGCTGTCAACTATACATGGGTTACTGGTTGGTTGGTTAATGGGTTTCAAGCCTATCGACTACAGAGTACCATTAATGCTGCTTCAGTCCCTAAAATAGGGATTAAAGCAAATTCTCAGCACACGTGCGCTGAGAGAAATACACACCTCAGAGAATATAGCCGGTGTGAGGTAATACAAGTCGCCTTGTAATGACTCAGTTTTATATTGTTTGATGTATTGCAGATGTTCTATACAAACTACTGCATTTGCTCTTCGCCCATATTGTATATTTTTTCAAAGAAATATGATACATTTTTATATTCGATTTTTTCACAAATTTTTTAATTTTTCTAGCTGCAGTAGCCAAGAAAACTATCATGTTTGATGAGACTTACGTCTGAACGTCGTTGATCTTAATAGTGACGGGGATGTGTCGTCTACCAAGAGTGTTGCGGAAACGGTGGACCAGCCTGGGAGGAACCAACACGTCAACTCCGGCCCCTGGTGTCTTGGCCCACGACCACTGGTCCAGCAGCCAACTACTCACAATATGTTGCACTATCTGGGCTTCTTCATGGGTTCTGGGCTTCACACTCAACAACTTGTACCTGTGTGGTAACAGTTCTGTTTGGTTCCTTAATTTGTCTTATGTCAACTACTACCAGAACATTTGGTGACTGGGGAAACAAGCCAACAAGTGAGTATAAAGACTCGTAATACAGGGGTAAGAATTGTTAAACTCTATGTAAGGTTAAAAGTTGTGAAAAATAAAGTTTTGATCAGCATTTCATGCCTTCATAATTATAATTTTTGTGAGGTCTAATACTTCTTCCAATTTCAGTAGGTCTAACACTTTCATATTTTGGTTATGTGTACAACTTTCATAGTATCTTAACGGTAAATGCTGTAGAAATTAATGTACAGGAAGGGAAGCTGAAATAAGCTGGCTTTTAGCAAGCTTATGATTCTTTGTCATATTCATTGTGAAATAAGACTTTTAAAGCGGAGAGGAGCTACAACGGTGAATATAAATAAGTCATAATTGCAATGGAAGATGATGGTTGCATTTCCGAAAATATGAATATAAACAAAAAGGTTTTTCATAGTAATTCAAACATAGGAGTAAAATGATTGAGGGACAAGTACTGCAAGCAACGTGGAATTCCTTTCAATTATAACTGACATTACTTGCATGGCAAACATTTGTATGCAATGGTTGGGGCGCATTTATCTGATACAGCGGTGACAACAATGATCAAAGTTGAAGGAGTCATTGCAAAATTGTCTAAGACTAAACTGATAGAGAACAGAGTTGATGGTGTGTGTGGGAAACAAAGGAGTTGCAGTATCATGGGCGGAGAGAGTAAAAATTGCCAGTGTATGTTAAGCAAACGTTCAGAAAAAAAAAATAATAGCTCATGAAACAGTTCCTGACAAAAACTAGAAAATGGGTCTACATAAAACGAGACAGGGAAGAGCGAAGTAATTACTTCCTTAGTGTCTGTTATACAAATATCCAGAACAAAAGATTAAAATAGGTAAATTAAAACTAATTGCATGTGCAAGTAATATAGACATTATTGCTGGGACATGCCTGCTAAATTCCACATGCGGAGGCATAAATTATTCCACACTGGTAAAGGGACAGAGTTTTTATGAATGTTAGGGAAATTTTTAACTGTTTTATCAGAAACGATACAAAAATTATTGAAATGATAGACACGGAATATGTTTAACTGAAGTTTCTTCAAAAAGATGAAAAGCTAATCTTAGATGTGATCTACAGACTCACAAACGTCGATAGTGACAACAATAAACTTCTTTGGGGTGAAGTTGCTCAGGAATCTTGACACGAAAATGTAGTTTCAGTGGGAGATTTTAACTTTAACCAAATCAGTTCCAGTAATTTGGCAGGCAAACTAAAGTTTAGCAAATATCTTGAAATTGTTCAGGATTTTTTTTAAGCAGTTTGTATCAGAACAAATTAGAGGAGAAAATCTACTGGAATTCTGGCAAACAAGTATTTTCTGATAGATCTGATAGGTAGGTAGTCTTAAGGACAATGAAGAACCTGGATGTTTTTACCTTACGAATTTATTAATCTTTTTCACTAAGGTATTCGAAGTGGCAGACCAAGATAATGAGTATGATATTGTGTATATGGGCTCCAGTAGAGCTTCTGATAAAGTTCCACACAGAAAATTGATTAAGACATTAGCCACAACTTAATAACTAAAACTGGATCGAGGCACGGTTCCCATTCCAAAAGTCAGAATGGGAATCATTTACGAGTGGTGTGCCACAGTGGTTAGTGTGGGGGACATTTACTGTTCACAATCAACAAAAAGTCAATGATGAGGTAATAAATGGCAATATAAGTAAGTTTGACGATGGCACAAAAATTGGTAATCAAATAATTTCTGATGCAAATATTAGAAGGCTACAAGATAACTTGGATAAGTTGTTGTTTTGGTCGGAGAAGTACCAGATGCGGTACAGTACAGAGAAATGTAAGAATCTAATCCTAGGAAAATCCTAGATAAATAAGCCAGATCTTAGTCAAAGTGAATGCGAGAAAGATCCAGTTCTGATTAACAGAAATTTATGGGAAGGCAACAATGTATGAAACTAATATAATTATTGTCTTCGTATCGGGAAGTATAATTAATGGAGATTCAATTTATGTATCTTTAGATTATGTCTCTTTAGATTATGCTGTTCACCTTTGGTCTCCATGTAACAGGATGGAAATAAATGCGCTCGCAAATGTACAGAGAAGGTTGATGAAGGTGATTCCATACAGGCTGAAAGAATTGAGCCTGTAGTCTGAAAAGACGTAGAATTAGGGGAAGATGTGATTGTAGTGTACAAAGGAAAAACCAGTCAGAACTTGTAGCAATGGATTAATTAAGGTTGGAGAAATTTAGTTATAAAAAGGATATTGGGAAGTAGTACTGCCCTCCCAACCAAGAACAATAACCAAAATAAACCATACTCGATACTCACAGTCCCTATTCCACCCTGTACAAATACCCTCCCCATACTAGCCTTCACAAAATCCCACCCGACCCTTCATAGCATAGCCCCAGTTACCAGTGATACAAGAGCCCAAAAACGGAAATACGGTAATGGAAAGGAAGCTGAAGGTATGGTACACCAACGCAGTTGAAATGAGAAGTAAGAGTGATGAGTTGCATGAACAAATCATGGAAGCATCCTCAGATATCATATCACTCATGGAGAGAAAGTTAATGGAGATATCAAATGCGATTTCCCGAATGGGTATCAAATTCTGAGAAAAGACAAATAAGAACATAAGAACGTAAGAAAGAAGGAACACTGCAACAGGCCTACTGACTCATGCGGAGCAGGTCCATGTCCCTCCTCTGGATTAGACCAATGACCCATCCCCCCCGGATTAGCCCAATGACCCACCCAGTCTGGTCGCCTCCACTCAAGGATGGAGCACTGCACCAAACCCAGCAGCACAAGCTAGTCAGGTCCAACTCACACCCACCTACGCCCACTCATGTATTTATCTAACCTATTTTTAAAACTACACAACACTACACAGGAGTTTATTCCACTCATCCACAACTCTATTACCAAACCAGTGCTTTCCTATATCCTTCCTGAATCTGAATTTTTCCAACTTGAAACCATTGCTGCGAGTCCTGTCTTGGCTGGAAATTTTCAGCACGCTATTTACATCCCCTTTATTTATTCCTGTTTTCCATTTATACACCTCGATCATATCCCCCCTAATTCTACGCCTTTCGAGAGAGTGCAGATTCAGGGCCCTCAGTCTATCCTCATAGGAAAGATTTCTGATACATGGGATCATCTTTGTCATCCTCCTCTGTACGTTTTCCAGAGCATTTATATCTATTCTGTAATATGGTGACCAGAACTGAGCAGCATAGTCTAAGTGAGGCCTAACCAAGGATATATAGAGTTGAAGAACAAGCTGAGGACTTCTATTATTTATACTTCTAGATATGAAGCCAAGAATTCTGTTAGCTTTATTGCGAACACTAATGCATTGTTGTCTTGGTTTTAAATTACTGCTAGCCAGAGCTCCTAAATCCTTTTCGCAATCAGTAGTATTAAGATCAGAGCAGAGTAAGTGGAGTAGCACTGCTCAGCAGAAACCAGTGGAGTTTTGAAGAGATGAGAGGAACGGACAGAGGAAAAGCAGATTTCTACATAGGCACACTTAGGACTGGGATTCCCTAGGTGGTGATAGCAGTGGTGTATAACTCTCCACTAAATAGCAAGAGGCCAAGACAAGTGAATGATGAAAGCAACAGAGCAATGGTGGATACACTTGTTGAGGTGGCGAGTAAAACCCACAAAGAGAATAACTGGGGAACCTAGAGCTACATGGGAGACCAGAAACATAGAGGGCTAAGATGCTTGATATAGTAATGGAGAATTTCATAAATCAATATATTAGAGTCACTACTAGGGACAGAGACAAGAATGAACCAGCAAGATTGGACCTTGCATTCACCCTATGTGGTTCAGACATTTGGGATATTACTCATGAAAGCCCCTCCAATACTTTGTGAAATTAACAGTAAATAGTTAATCAGCACAGGAAGGAAGGAAGGAAGAAGAGGGTCTACACAGGCATGAGGCACTTCTTATATGAGGAGCAGCGTGAGAGGGAAAGGGAAACGGAAAGACAGTGAATAAGATTAAACACATAAACAGAAAGTGAAGGGAGGTGGAGAAGTTCGTACAAAGAGGCAGTAGAAACAATGGGAAGACCAGACTGAGTCCACGGTTTACTCAGATGTATAGAAGCCAAAGCCAGATTTACTAGATGGCAAAGGATTTAGGAAAGCAAAGAGTTGAGCCGAAGAGCTAGGAACGAGTATGCATGGATAAGGAGGGAGGCTCAAAAGAAATTTGAGAATGCCATTGCATCGACAGGCAAATCTGACCCAAAGTTATCATATAGCCACATCAGGAGGAAAACAACAGTCACGGACCAGGCTGAGGAAGGAATTTTGAGGAAGGTATGTAAGGAGTTTACAAGAAATGACCTGGAAGTCTGTGTAAAGCTCGGCACTAGATTTAAGGAGGTGTTCTCAGAGACAAAAAGGCTTTCAGCAAGCCTAGGTAGGAGAGTGCACCAGCAAGTGTTGAACACAATACACAACTGAGGAGGTGATGAAACTGTTATGTGAGTTAGATACCTTGAAGAAGGTGAGACAAGATATCATTTCTCTGTAGGTCCCGAAAGAAGGAGCAGAGGTATTGTGTTTTCAGTAAGTCTATCGAAACAGGGCAACTGCCAGAGGTGTGGAAAATCGCAAAAGAGCGGTGGAGCAAGTAGAAAGGATTGGCTTCATACTTGACAACCAGCACGGTTCAACGAAGGAAAATTCTGTGTCACAAGCTTTAAGATCTATGACAAGGTAAAAGAAGTAAAACAGGAGAGAGAGGGATGGGCAGATTGCATTTTATTGGATTGTAAAATTTTTGACATAGTACCGCACAAATGACTGAAACAAAAGCTAGAGAAGCAGGTAGGAAAAACAGGAAAAGTACTGCAAAAGATCAGGGAATACCTGACAGGAAGGAAAGAACAAGTGATGGT